CGGTTGGATTGCCCCAGGTGTGACGCTTCCAGACTTCACCGGCTTCAATCGGCTCAGCTGGTTTTAGATCAAGCGATTATTGAGTTCCTTCAAAATGGTCGGAATATGTGGGTTAACCTCTTGATCGATATCCTACAATTGACGAACACTGACACTTGAATTGTTCTCATTAGTCTCATGTCCTTTGGATCTTGTGCTCGCAATATGAACAATTTCTTTTTTATTTCATTTCTGGTTGTCTCATTCAACTCTTGATCGAACCCAGTCATTGTTTCACGACCCCAGTCTGCATGTGTCCCTTTCTTATGTACCGAATCTTTATGGTCATCTGTTGAATGTTTTTGTTTTCCATCCTGCCTGTTGTTCTACTGTTCCTCGAGTTAGCAATCACATATCACTGTGTTTAAATAGTCACTACTTGATTGCCAGTAAAAGGTTGGCTGTCAGCCTGCCCAGCATACATAGAAGTGCCTGATGCTTCTCAGAAGTGTTCTAATCAAGCGCTTCCTAATCATCTCTTACTTCAGTTCTACTGCGAGGAAGTTATGAGTACGTCAATGAGCTGGCCAAATATGTACCACACAGGGTGGACTTCAATCGACATAAATCCACATCTAATAAATCTTTCATATGATGCATAACCAAATGACTTTTCAATCCAATTCAAGGAACCCCGTTTAAAACTGAAATGATCCTGGGTATCATCCGCGATCAATCTCTGCCTGCACCTAAAGATGCTGGCACTTGTGCATCAGTGACAGTTCAATCCCCAATCTAAGGCGGAAGGAAGGGAAAGCTGGTACGTGTTTGTGTACATAGTCTGTGATTGTTTGTTATGGTAAAAAGGCATTAGTTGTCAAGTGTATCACAAATTCAAGCTGTGTCTGGTTTTGACATACGACATGGGTTCATAAAACAAAGATTAAGTTGATTTACAAACTCTGGTATTATGAATGGATTTTCAACCTAACAGTTTATTTTCTGTGTTTAAATGATCTTATAAGGTCAGATCATGTGTTGAGATTGTATGTTGTGATTCAGAAAGGCAACCTCACAATGTTGATCATGGTTTAAAAAATCAATGTTGGTATCTTGAATCTTTTGAATGTTTTTGTGGTTTATTTAGCTATTTTCAAAAGAAGGCCAGTAAAATACTTATCAAATTAGTAAGGGCACATTCACTTAAGCACTCTTTTGTGACAAAGTGTGTTCTTGAATGTCCAGAAATCACATTCTGTGAAATGTGTTTGTTTTCTTAAATACAACTTCAACTCACATTGCCAGCCAGTGTGAAACCCATATGGGTAGTCAATCTAGTCAACTCAGTACATCATCAAATCCGAAGATTAAGATAAAAGTCTCCCTCGTACCTGATTTTGATTCTGTTACATCTGAAGACAATTATGATTTATGTGATGGACCACTGGAAGATCTAGATGTCCTTGACACAGAAGTTTTGAAAGACATCAGCATAGCAATGGTGACGCAAATGTGAGTTTTAAATTTTATTTTGCTTATTTTTACATTCACTAAGGGCCTTTATTTCTTTCTATTGCAAAGTGGAACCAGAAGACAAAGAACCTGTGGAGACCAGAAAGGCCAAACCTAGTGAGTTCAAAATTCAGGTCTATCTGCTGTTAAAATTTGCTGATGCATTCCTTGCTCAGAAGGCCAAAAGAATCCACCAAAGAAACTGTTAGATCCTATTGAAGCTTAAGCCAAGTGCAAGGCTGCAGCAGCCAAGAAGTGCACCTCTGTGAAGAAGTTGAAGATATGGTATACATGTTCTGTCATGTTCTATTCTTCCTCTATTGATTCATTTCAAAGATCAATTTCCTTGACTCTTGTTAATTTCCTTTGTATTTATTTCAAATTTCATGTCTCTCCTTGAAATATTTTTGGTTTATTTCTATGTCTTGGTATTCTTTTTTATTTATCTATCTCTCTTGCCTGGTATCATTTTTCTTTTTTGTTTCCCTTCACTATTCATAATTCTTATTTATTTATTTATTTTTGCGCTTCTCAATCTTTTGTTGTGGTAGTTATTTGTTTTGTTTCTTTTGGTATTGATGCTTCTTTGTGAATCATCAAAATTCATTCAAAGTTGAAAAAATGAGTTGGTGTAAGAGATACAGTTCAAAAATACAAATACACAAGACCTGGACTTTTGCACCAGATTTCCTTACACTGGATCAACTGGTGTAAAAGATACAATGTAAAATAATTACACATCACCTCACATAATTACACACAATATAAGTACCATGTGTAAAATTAAACATCAGGGGGGTTTGATATGATTCTTACACCAGAAGTTCTTTACACCAAAACATTTGGTGTATATGAGTTGGTGTAAACGTCTTCTGACCCATACATAATTTGTTGATTCTGTTTGCATTTGTAAATCTTGTTGGAATCCATTTGTCATTGTCAATGGGAACTGGCCAAATTGGGCGGCGGGCACTGCAGCCATGATATGGGCTCAACTCAACTCAATCCAGATAGGAGGTAGATCCTATGTTTGTTCACAGATGGCTCAAGCAGGAAAGCATCATCAGTGGTTGGTTGATGTGAATGCAGCATAATGTATTTCTTAACCTAATGAAAATCACTTTATCCATTGTGAGTAACACAGAACCAGACCATGTATATTGCACAGTCAAGGCAACTAAAAGTAAGTTGGAGAATTAGGAAAGGCTGTTAGAGTTTTGCTGCTGGCAGCAAGCAACAGCAATGGAATAGTGCAGGGCAGGGTATGTATGCCACACTGCTTGTGAGCTCTGATTGTGGCAAGATCCAGGATTGGGAGGAATGATGATGACTTGAAGCAGAGGTAATGACACATAATCTTTCAGTGGGGTCAAAATCTCCATGCCCCAAGCCTAACCCCCAGCCCCCAATCTCCTAAAAGTGTCAATATCAGAGTACAACAAGTATCACTTTGTCTAATTGACAGATACTCATTTTTCACTGTCTTTGAATATATGGTTCTTTTTTGACTTGAAAGATATTAAGTATTCTAACTTTTTTGAAATACTTTGTCACTATTTCAGCTGTTCCTTGATTGGTTGCTTCACTTACAAATTTTCTAAACTTGTTTAACATTTTCAACAAATTTCACATTTTTTCTGTTGTAACCATCTGCTCTTGTGTCATGGATACCTCCTACAGTTCTTGAATATTCTGTGGGAGAATTTTGGTGCCACAGAAGTGCTTGTAACAATGAATCATTGATGTTAGCCCCAATAATACCTAAGATTTCCATAGAGCATTAGCCTTCTAAGTGTTTCAGTGACAGTTATAAAGTTTTGACGTCCTTGTTTTCCTCCAGTAACAAACTAGAGAAGACTATCAGAAGTGAAACCTATAGTAAAAAGCGAAATCCTGAGGGCACAGGTTTCTGTCAGACTAAAGCTTCACTGCTAGTCTTTGACAAGAAACAAGAACAGACCTGAGGGCACAGGTTTCTGTCAGACTAAAGCTTCACTGCTAGTCTTTGACGAGAAACAAGAACAGACCTGCGAGCTCAAATAACAACAAGAACACGCGTAAGGATGATGAGTAAGATTGAAAAACACAAATATGATTATTGATTCTTTTTGACCCACCTGAGGCAACGTTGGGCCAGTGCGTTGCTCTCACTGAGCAACGCAAGGCAACGTCGAGCAACGGCTATATACCCGCAACGCACCGGAACGCAACGGGTCAGACTGTTGCCCGGTGTGTTGCTGGTACGAGCCCGGGATTACTCGCGGTTGCGTTACGCTTCTCGACCCGCTGTGAGCAACGCAACCCCCGCAACCCCCGCAACGGCCAACCGGGCATGGCCCCTGCAGGGGCCCAGGGATATGTCAGATTCTCAGATACCCCTGGACCCTCCCCTGCTTTTACAAGCGATTTCCATCATACTTTGCTCTATCCCTCAAACACACGACCCACGACGCAATGGCCTCTTTCAGCTTACCTTTTTGATACTCAGCCTGCCCCATCGAGCACTTAAACTTGAAGATAATCGCAACCTCAAGCTCAACTCTGTCTTCCAACCGTTCATCCAGTTCCCTTCAATTGCTGATTTCAACTCTTGATTCCACTGTTACACAATTACCTTTTTACAATCTTCACTTAAATTTAATTGATCATTATCGTTTTCATTTTCCTTCCAGTTCTTGCTTTACTTTTCATTCTTATTTCAACTATTCACTCGTCTTATTCTCAACTGAAATGGATAGTAGTGATTATGGCAGCTCCCAATCTCAATCTCAAGCGTCGTCAACCATCGGAACCCCTCTCCGCAGCCCCATCAGACCACCAACACCCCGTCAGAGTCATCCAGGAATGCTGCAGCCGTCGTCTGATAGCCGAATCACAATTGCTCTCCCAAAAGCCAGCGGTCCCAAGCATCCTGCGTCAAAGAAGACAGTCTCAAAGCCGACAAAGGAAACACAACAAACAGGACCGAGTAAGAAGCGCAAAAAAAACGATTCAAAGTCTTGTCAGGTGAGCAACCATCAAATCATTACCACTCTCTCAATCGATTACAACATTAGCTAAGGTCTTTGAATATGATTGATTTGTATAGCCGCCTCAAGACGATGCACGCTCTGAATCCGAGATGAATCAGGACTCCGATGATGGCCTCAACAATTGTCAGAAAGCAAAACGAGCAAAGGTCCTGGAGGTAAACAACGAGGAAGGACCTGGTTACCCTCATTACAGAGAATACTTTGGAGAGCCTGATTACAAGAAGGACGAGGTAAGCAAACATATCATACATTTGTATCATACTTTTTAATGACTATCACTTACTTTTTTACAGCCTAAGGTTGGGAAGAAAATGAGTTATCCTTGTCTTTGGTGTGACATGATAGTCCGTGTCGTTCCGGACTCACTGAACAACCTCAAGATCCACCGTGATGGATACAACAAAGGGCGAAAACGATTTCCGTGTAAAGCTAGGCAAAAAGCAATCGACAGAGGTCTTGTCCTTCCTCCAACTTGTTTCGAACTCAAAGCTGCTGCTTCAGCTTCATCTGGACAGCAACAAGTTCCCGACTTTTTCAACAGCAAGCTCCCCTTCAAAAACAAGGTCCTCAACAAGATCCTGGCTGTATGGATCCTTGCGGAGGCCCTGCCTTGGAATCGTATTGTGGATTCTTTACTCAGATTGGCTTTTAGGTATGCTCGACGTGATGCAAAGGTGTTTGGACGCACATGGGTAGCCAGAGAAGCGGCTGGGATGTATGCTTCATTTCAAGATACCGTTTTGAATGAAATTAAAGTGAGTCGCACGTTTTTGACCGTTTAACCTTTCAAAAGTATGTATTATTGTTTTAAATCATCAGACTTACTTATATCTTGGCCTGCAGAACAACACCAGCAAATTTACGTTGATACACGATGGATGGACGACACATAACAACATACACGCTTTTTTAGGGGCTGCGGTAACCTTTATTGACAAGGATTGGAACTACCAGGTTTGGCATCTTACATTGCCTGGCATCACAAGGGCGTGTGGCTTGCGCAGCCCTTGGTGCATTTTATGAAAAAACATTCACTTCAATATAAGATAAGTTTTCTATTATCTATTATCAATATCAATAAGATACACTAATACTAACGTGTCTGTTTAACAAAATATTACATGCTTGCCCAGGTCACAGACTCTGGCTCAAACAACATCTCGATGGCGAACAAAATGCACACCCAATTCTTGTTGAGGAACAAATTCTCGACTCTGAAACCAAAGATATTTTACAAAATGAAGCATATACTTGGAATCCCAACACCGATTACGCTCGGTGCTTTTTGCACAAAGTGTCTTCAACCGTCAAAGGCGGTTTGGAAGAGCTAGGTCGAACAACTCCATCACGGGCCAAGGAGCAAGAAGATTTCCTCGGTGTATTTCCCTTCTCATCAACACTTCCGGTCATCGCCAAAGACGATGAAGATGAACAGAATGCTCCAATCATCATTGATGTCAAGGTGGATCACCATACTCCTGAAGAAGTGGACACCGATCATGACTCAGAAGGCGAAGTCATCATAGATGGCGCTCCAGACTATGATGAAGACAATCATATTCCAGAGGACGGTGTTGAAAGTACAATTGAGAATGTGGTTGAAAACTCCATTGGTAGTAAATACCACACAAGTGCTTCTCGAAAGCACGCAAATCGTCTGAATGGATTGATCAGCAAGGTAATGTAATGGTCTACTTCTCATGACCTTGTCTTCAGTAATTGATATCTTGGTTTTGATTTTTCATTATGTTGCAGGCCAATTTTGTATCTCGTCGAGTCGCTTGGTCTGCAGCTTGGAGGCGACACTTCTCACGAATAGCAAAAAGCATGAACCTTAAGCTTTTGCCCTTAACACCGGGTTACAACGCTACCCGTTGGAATTCTGAATTTGATTCACTTAAAAGGTTGGTACAGGCGCGTAAAGTAAGTTGCTTATCTTTCTTGATGGTATTATTATATCCTGACTGACTGTTTTCATAATTACAGGTGGTCAACAAGCTTTTAGCCGACGACCTTGACCTTCTCAAGGGTAAGAAACTACAAAAGGGCAGCCAAAAGCCGCGCGGTTACTTCCACGAGGTATTCTTCAGCCCAGACAACTGGAGTGCTCTTGAAGAGCTGACCACCGAACTTGCTGTGAGTTGGGACTTTCCGAGTTCTTGTATTACTTTGTTGAAAATTAGCTGACATTCATTTATGTACCAAGCCGTTTGTTTGAGTTCAAATCACTGCTTGGAAAATAGATTATCTATGTATAGTAAATCAAGGAGTTGATGTCATTGGCTGCAATTGACATAGATAAAGGCTCAACAATTAACTTGATTTCTTGACATGCTGGCCAGATAGTTTAATGCTGTATTTGAGAATGCAAATTTCCAGAATGGTGATTTGCAATATTGACATATGCTGGCTAAGCAGTGATATATAATATGCTTGTTCACAATAATCTCTTGCTAACATGATAAATCAATTACAACTGAGTAGGATGAGTGGTGTAAATATTAATGCACTCCTTTATATATTTGATGATCAAATTTTCAGAGATAGTCATTAAGGAGGTCAAGACATCTAAGCTGTACAATTGGCCTATTAGCACAGGACCCTGGAATGCGCCTACTGAGGCGTCTGCACCTGTGGCGCCTTAAACTTTCGAGCACGCACCTTATGAAACGGTGCGCACTTTCATCAGACCCGGACTCGAACCTCTGTGCTAGATCACGCTAGATCATCTAGATCAAAACTATCCCACCTTTTCCACACTCACAAAGTCAACTACAAGTTCCCAAAAAAAAATTGTGTATCAGAAGTGTCCATAGCACCATTTTTATCAACTTTTGACTTATATCAAAAGTTGAATTCACAAAGAGCACAGAGGTCAGATCACTCAGATCAGTCTGAGGACTCTCAGATCAATCTGCGCACTCTCAGATCAATCTGAGTGATCTCAGATCAATCTGCGCGCTCTCAGATTGATCTGATGAACGCGCTCAGATTGATCTGAGTGATCTCAGATCAGTATCCAAACTCCTCTCAAACTGACAAGTCACTCAGATCAATCTAGATAATCTCTCACCAGACAAAACATTCAGATCAATCTGAGAGCACTCTCTCTGATCTTGCTAATTCGCTAAGATCAATCTGGACACTTTCAACTCAACACCAAATACGCCTGAATTGCAACAATCCTTACCACTCGTGGATCATCTACTAAACAATACCACTCCAAACGAGCACATTCCTAACAAATTTAAGTGGTACAATTGTTATAACGCTTATTACTCAAGATGGATTCCAAATAGATAGCTAGATAGCTACACTCAACCTGGGCGGGTGCCCAGCAAGTTTAAGTAGTGTCCTATAAAGTCCTATACCAACTCGTACCTACAAATGTCAAGGAAATCTTTACTGAGCAGCCAATTTAATAAGTAAGCATATCAACACGCTGTCCAGTATTTCAATTCCACTTAGAAAAGCGAGGTCGACTGTCTTGCTTTCTGAACCTTTCAACATATGTACTTACAATTTGAATTCTCTTTCTTGTTAATCGAATGAGTTGATACAGTATTAATCGCAACCGTCAATTAAGCATTAAACCATCAATTGAGATTGCCAAATCAAGAAAGAGAAACAGCGCTAATTTTTACTCAATTCAGTGTTCAGACTGGTCCCGCTGTTATGATTTAATTGGAGAAACCAATTTGATTCGATTCCATTTGTATCATATCCTATTGCATCATGTACTTAAACGCACAACTTGTAGGTATATCTTGAGTGTCTCAGTCGGTTCAATCAATCGATTTTTGATCAAATTGATGTGAGTTGGATCAAATGGCAAGATCAATTGACACAACAAATGAAAGAGTAAAAAAATATGAAGGGAAAAGAACTCAGACAACTCCTACTAAACTATGCAATTTAGATCAACTTGAATGAACCTTTATAGATCACAACCTCTATTCAATAACTGAGTAATCTTTTCAATAAATCTTTGAATCAAAAAACTTGATTCAGGTAAGACAGAGCGACTAGGTTTTTGAAATATGTAACGCAATACACTTCAAGTCGATCAAAAATTGGGGTGTGATAAAAAAGACATTGGGGTGTGATAAAAAAGACAACTGAGCACTATTTAAGATTGTCTCACAACGTAATCACAGTCATTGATTGTGTAAAGTATCAAGCATCGGAGTCGGATTCAGGCTCAGAATCTGATAAGTCATGGGTTGGATCTTCTTCCTCTTCTTCGGACTCTTCCGTAGATTCTTCTTCTTCTTCACTATTGACACGAGTCTCCTTGGCCGATTTTTTGGATGACAGCTTCTTCGATGATTTCTTGGACGATTTCATGGTCTTGACGGATTTTGACTGACTTGTTTGAGCGTGGCTTTGACCCGAGGTTGTTTGAGTATGATCAGAATCACCGATTGGTTGATTTTGAGTGCCTTGAGTGATCGTAGGAGAGGCCGCTGAGGTTTGGGAAGCAATTTGAGATTTCTTTTGTTTGCTGGGTTTTTTTTTCGTAGTCTTTTGTTTTGGTGGTAATTCAGAAGGTGGAATTTTTTCAATAAAAAAGTGTCCTTCTTTGATGTCGCTTAGCCATCTCTTCTTTTGTGAATCATCACAGCAGCGGAAGCCTGATTCCAGTTCTTCCGGTAACAGAGAACTAGCTGTTCGAGACAGTACAAGTCGGATAGGCCAACCTTTGTCGCG